AAAGTTTTTTACTGTTCCAGTTAATCACTCCAAAGCTTTCCAAAAGAGATGCTAAAAGATACCACAAAACAATGATATTTATCAATAGAAAGCATATGTGCAGACTGCTCTCTACTTAAATAAATACAAGCATACCTCAGAGAAGTCACAGATTCAGATTTATACCATCACAGTAAAGAGAATTCATATACAAAATTTTGGTTTCCCAGTGCACACATTATACTGTAGTCTATTAAGTGACTCTATATCGGATTTCAGAGGCTGTGAATCTTTCTGGACGCAGATAGGGTCATCTTTCTGCTGAGGAACAGCTGGTGGATTTGAACCACCAACTTTACAGTTAGAAGGTCCAATGCTTATATGACAGCACCAGCAAGGTTCCTCCATATAATGTGTGCAAGCACTATGAAAGTTCAAAAAAAACTGAACATTCTAAAAATATGACAGAGAACAGAGTGAGCACATGCTGTTTGAAAAATGGTACTGACAGACACATTCAACACAGGATTACCCAAACTCTTCCACTTAAGAAAATCACAAGTAGGTAGACAATCATTGACATGCTGTATAAAAGCCCCATATGCTGTAATAAGATATACATTATTTGGACAAATCTGTGATTGACATTCTCAGAGAATATTGCTGTAAATTTTCCCTCACAACCAATGCCCATTGTTTCTGTAAATAGCGTCCAGCCACAAAAGGATTTACTCTGCACAATATGAATAATTCAGATATTGCGATACGCAGTTAGCCTACTTTGGTTCAATATCACTCTTTTGACTGTGTTTTAAAAATTATTACCAGAGGCTAATCAATGACAACATTAATGAAGTCATTTATGCGCCAGGGAAATAATCAGTAAGACTCTCTACCATAAATTAACAAGTAGTTCTCTACAGGGAGCCAAAGGCAGATTTTTTTTAAAAAAGATATAAATCGGGAATGAGTTTTGGGCTCACACTAAATCCTAGTGTGAAAAACTCAATTTAAGAACTAATTCTTACATCATGGCCCTACTTGATACTCGCCTTCAGGAAGGGAACACAGAAGATAGGGATGTTACAGCCAAGTGTGGTGAAGAAATCAGATGGTGCCTGGCTATCAGATGAAATAGTGTCTGGAGTCTTAAAAGCTTGTTTCCTAACAAGCAGTCATCAAAGTGAGATGTCAGCTAAGTGCACATGGAAGAAGCACACCAACATCAGTGACCAAAGGATAGCAAATCATTTAATTTGAAGCTGAAGGAGGAAATAGTACCAAAGCCCAAATTTTGAGATTCTGATTGGCAAAAGGCTATGTATGACAGTGCGAGCCCAAGATACATTTTTGAGATCTATAAAGGAAACAAGGCTCTGGTGATTTCCCTCTATCCATAATGGAGAGATGGAAATAAACTGGTTACAAAATAGAGTACATTAAAGAAATGACTATAGAAGATCAAAATGATAAACATGACTTGAAATAGTTAAAATCATGTCAGTTTATCCCTCCCATATACGTTGGCCTGATATGGCTTTCAACATTTTATGTGTTTTGTTTTTTTCCCTCTTCATATTGGGATTTAGTTCTAACGTATTTTGTCATTGGGGATAGCCCTTTTGAGTTTTTGTTATGTTTTCCTGTTTTTCAGTACATGAAACTCATGATTGATGAATCTACAGAATGAGCAAGTATAATAAGGGTCTCTGGGGGGATACTTTGGGGGGGGGGGTAAAGCAGAGATGATAGCAAGGAGTTTAAAAAGGAGAATGCTTTGAAACTGATTATGGTAGCAACTGTAAAATACAGCTTGATGTGACAACTATGGAATGATATCTATATTACCTCCCAATAAAAATATTTGGGGGTAAAAATGTTAACACATTATGCAGTATATAGGCCATGTCATCAAACTGTTGTAGAAATTATAAATAAATGTATGGTTAGCTGCATATATTGCTACCAAACATAAATAAAGTAGTACTGAAAAAAATAAAATCAATAACATTAGCTAGAAGTGCACTGAGGTACACCTGCAGTCTACTAGAAACTTCAATTTATCTACTCCTCTGGCATGGATCTAGATATACCAAGTAGATCAGGCCCTTGTCAACAAATCTGAAATTACACTGGACACATTACAGTGTAATTATAAAGTAACATGAATTAAAATCCAAATTAAAATTTTGCCAAGATTCCCAAATACTTTGTATTACAAGAAAACAAATCAATGTCTTAGCTACCTAAAGCGAGTATTTTTATCCCCCAGGGAAAGGATGAGGGGTAATTTATTGAGTGATTTGATGAAGGGTTTAAACTACTGGATACGAAGTTGACTGAATTATGAACATCATGCTTTTTTACAATGTAAGAAATAATACTTAAACAGAAAAAAACAACAACAACCAATAAACCCACTGCCATCAAGTTCATTCTGACTCATTGTGACACTACAGGACACGGTAGAACTGCCTACCAGGTTGACAAGGCTGGAAACTTTAGGGAAGCAGATGAGCACATCTTTCACCCAACAAACAGCTAGTGTGTTTAAGCCACCCAACTTTCTGGTGGCTACCAGCAAAAGTGATTAAAGAGAGTATCTTTACAGGAGCGGTTCTTCTTTCTGCTCTAAAAAAATGCTTTCATGCATCTCCAGTCTGAGAAAAATGGACAATTAATGTATTATACTGTCCACCGTGTATTTCAAAAGAGATGGTAGAGAAACCAAACCAAAAAAAATTATATCACTTGCTTTCAGTAGTTACTTGTAGGAAGGTAGATCAAAAGCAATGCTACAAAAATCATAAACATTTAAAATCTTAAAATGTGAAGTCATTATTTCTCAACCTATTCTCCATCTAGGGTTCTGAAGGCAGTGCTTCCATCTCTCTTTCCTGAAGAATTCGGTCTGCTTCCCTTTACACCACATCAAGGACCTCAAATTATGATCCTTTTGAATGCTGAATTTGGGGAAACAAAAAAGAAAAAATCTAAAGGGACAAGATCAGGGTTCTAAGGTGGGTAGAGTAAGGTTTCCCAACAAAATTCTCCAATGACAGCCCTTGCTCGCTATAAGCCAACACTGACTCAAATAGCAATGAATCTGGATTTAGATTATAACATTAAGAGAAAGAAATAGGACCAAGGTTTTTTACTAACATCTGCAAAAAGAATACCCCTTAAAAAAAAACTCAAACCACAAAAATGGTTCACATAGGCATCTTGAAAACTGTCTTCTCTACACTGCCAACAATATTTTTCAAACACTGATAAATTTTCAAGAATTCAGCTTATGAGCTTTTAGCTCTATAGAATATAAAAGACAAAAATTTAAACATCCTCAAATTTTATATTAGAAAAAGTAAATATATAGACAATGAGATCTCATCTTTGAGGATTCTTCATAATGTCAAAATGTACCGAATAATAAAACTCTTAGTTCACAATATGTGCAGAAGTTTGAAAAGTGAAATCTGTAACTATCTTTTTATTAAATCATTTTATTGGGGGCTCATACAGCTCTTATCACAATCTATTTATACACCCATTGTGTCAAGCACATTTGTACATTACGTTGCCATCATCATTTTCAAAACTCTTTCTACTTGAGCCCTTGGTATCAGCTCATTTTTTTCCTCCCTCCCCCACCCTCCCTCATGAACCCTTGATAATTTAAAAATTATTGTTATTTTTTTTTCATGTCTTACATTGAGAGATGTCTCCCTTCACCCACTTTTCTGTTGTCCAGCCCCCTGGGAGGGGGTTATATGTAGACCATTGTGGTTGGTTCCCCCTTTCTCACCCCACCTTCCCCTTCACTACTCTCATTATTGGTCCTGAGGGGTTTATCTGTCCTGGATTCCCTGTGTTTCCAGCCTTTATCTGTACCCCTGTACAATGTACAACTATTTTATCTGCATTTGTAAAATTGTATGGATAGTATATAAATTGCACCGACACTACAAATTGATGTTTTCGTTCTTTCCCTCAGTAAAATGGTTTAATTAAATGATCATCTGAAAGTGTAAAGAACAGAATGTTACCTAGCTACAATCGAATTGTAATTTGTTGTTACATCCATTTTAAAATAGTCTTTACAAAAACAGTACTCTTCAAGACATCAAGGAGCTCTGTAGTGCTTGGCTACTAACAAAAGTTGGCGGTTTGACACTCCGAGAGGAAAGAGCAGGCTTTCTGCTCCCCCCAACATTACAGCCTTGGAAACTCTACGTGGCAGTTCTCCTGTCCTACAGGGTCGCTGAATTGGGATAAACTCGAGAGTGCTCACCAATGGACATCACTAAATCTATTTTTTAATTGGCACTGAAAATACAAAGAAAGCCACTCTTCACTGGTGTCAACATAGAGATTTCTATGACGCACTACTAAATTAAAGTAGAAAACACTTTCATGTAAAATTCTAATACAACACTTGAGATATAGATATATATATATATATTTGTAATCACTAAAAAATTCCTGTTACCCCTCCTGCCTAACTATACAGGGCTGGAAAAAAGAGTGCGCCACTTTTGAAACTAACATAATAGAAAAAGACAAAATGACAAGGTTAACCAGAAAAGAGGATCAGCATTGAAACTGTTTCCTAAAGTTCCACAATTCGTAACCCACCTCGTCACCAATCTATTCACACACTCCTCCAACTGCATTCTTGGCAGCGGTATCATTACCAGCAGGTAAGTGAAACTCGTCACCATTTCCAGTAGATAATGAACTAGAACTGCCTGGGGGTCAAGAAGTAAGGAAATGACCAAGGGGGCGAGGAATAAAATTAACTATTTAGTGTCCGGATAGTCTCAGAGAGGGGTAGTAGGAGACTGGGAGGGAGAGCAGGGTATCTAAGAACCCGCAGGCAGGTTCCAGGAAAAACAGAAGTGAGAGGCAACAGCTCCCCACAAAAGACACTTAGGAACCGGCCAGCGAACCCCCCTCCTGCAAGTATCACCTGGGGAAAGAGGCCGTCTGGGCCGAGGCTGTGCAAGAGGCAGGGAACTCACCACCAGGTAGCGGCCAGTGCCAGGCTGGTGCAGATCCATCCTGCCCAGCTCAGAACCGAGCTTCCGAATGGGCAAGTCCTGTCGGTTTTCGGCCCGCTCCGCCACTTCTGGGGCCACAAGGCCAGCGTCCTCTGTGTCGGCTCCCGCTGCTGCGGCCGCCGCAGGGCCGATTCACTTCCGGTCGTTCCTGGAGCTGAGCAGCCCCGCGGAGCTGCGCACTGGCATCGGGTAGGTGGGAAAGCTGGGACGCACCCGTGCTGGCATGTGCTACTGCGCATGCGCATAATTGCCGCGCAGGCGCGCTGGGTCGTCAAGTGGCCCTGTAGTCTCGCGAGTGTGCGGGTTTCAGGAAGCGAGAGGAGCTGGCAAAGCGAGGGAAGTTAAAGGAGCTGTGTAGGTTGCCAGCCTGTCAGAAGTGCGTGGCAACGAAAAGAACAGGATGAAAAAAATTCGTCATCAGTTGTAGGTGAGAACACAATCACAGAGTACCGATGTCAAGAAAGTAGGAGTAACATTCCTAGAACCCTTGAGGACGGGTTAATTATGTACCGAACACTTCGCTTCCTCTTATTACCCACCAAACCTAGAACCCATCTCTAGGATATTCCTAAAACGCTGTTTCAAAATCGTCAAAGAAAAAATAATTGCCACTGTGGGTTTCAAAGACTAACTCTTTATTCAAGTAGAAGCATCACCTTTCCTGATGGTTGGTAATTTCAAACCGCTGACCTTTTGTTTAGCAGTCCAATACATAACCCACTATGCTACCAAGTCTCTGGAACAGTAAGAGTGTCCCAACATTAAGAGGCAATAATATCACATTTAAATTTCCTTAAACTGAGCCATGTTAAAATAACAGATTATTTTCATTTTACTCTTCTCACAAATTATGTGGCCATTTTGAAATCTGGCCAAGCTGATAATGAAATCCAACAGAAGAGTACATTTTCAGAGAGGAGGAGAAAGAGAAAAAAGAAAAGAAAGAAGTATAATGATTTTTTTTTTGAGCCCTAGAGCCACTGTGGATTAGATGTTGGCTTATTAACAACAATGTTGGTAATTCAAACCCACCAGCCAGTCTGAGGGAGAATTATGAGGCTTTTTGCTCCCATAAAGATTTTTGGTCTTGGAAACACTATGTATGGTCACTATGAGTTGTAACCCACTCAGTGGCAGTGGGATTTGGTTTGATTTAAGCCGAAGAATCATGCATTACTTCATCCTCACAACAACTGCACAATGTAATCTCTAGTGAACAGATGAAAAAAGTAAAGTGCTTGGAATCCAGAAACAGGAGTGAGAGTAGCGATACCAGGAGGGTAGGGGGAAGGTGTGGAGAGGAGGGGAGGAAGGGAGAACCAAACAATCACAACAATCGACACATAGCCACACACATACACACCCAGGAGGACAAACAACAGAAACCATGGGGGAAGGGAGACAGCGGTTGTTGTAAGATATGAAAATAATTTATAATTTATCAAAGGGTCACGATGGTGGGGGGTCGGGTGGGTAGAGTTGCTACCAAAGGCTCAAATGATAGTGAATGTTTAGAAATTAATGATGGCAACATATTTATAAATATGCTTGATACAATTGATGTATGGATTGTTTTAAGAGCTGTAAGAGCCCAATAAAATGATCTTTTAATAAATATATAGATAGGTAGAAAGTAAAGTGCAGACAGATTCAGGAGGTATTAAAAGCCAAATCACTGGTAAGAATCTGGTGACACATACTAGGGCTCCCACTCTTTTAAGTAGTAGCTTATAATAAAACCAGGCCAAAAGCTCTTACCTCTTTCCCCCTTTTTCCCCACTACCACTGTGAAATCTGCCAAAGACATAAAACTACCTCACAATCACAAATCTAACTTCTATAAATTCCATTTTGATAACCCATAGAAATAAAATGATTCTTTATCATCATTGCCTGGAGAACCATGCTGAGCTCTATTTACCCATTTAACAACTAAGCTGGTGTCCCTATAATGGGCCATCAGAAGCAGAGACCCTGGGTTGCCCCAGGAAGCAACCTATTTGTGATGAAAGCCCATTTTAGTGGCCTTAACATGTAGGTGTCAAGAATTACATGTTGGGGGCAGGAGGGAATCCAACACAAGGTTGGAGATATAGCCCACCCTCAAGGGGATGAATAACAGAAATGTGGATGACGGGAAAGACAGAAAATAACAATAATGTATAATTAAGGATTCATGAGGGTTGGGGAGGAGGGGGAAGAAGAAGGGCTGTTACGAAGGGCTTAAGTAGAAAGAAAATGTTTTGGAAATGTTGATGGCAACATATGTACAAGTGTGCTTCATACAATTGAATGAAGCACACTGCATACAATTGAATGATGTAAGAGCCCCCAAGTAAAATGATTTAAAAATAATTACATGTTGGACTGCTAAGTGCAAGGTCAGTAGTTTGAAACCACCAGTCTCTCCATGGGGAAAAGATGAGGCTTTCTGCATCTATAAGATTTAGCAGTGGTTCTCAACCTGTGGGTCGTGACCCCTTTAGAGGTTGAATGACCCTTTCAGAGGGGTCGCTTGATTCATAACAGTAGCAAAATCACAGTTATGAAGTAGCAACGAAAATAATTTTATGGTTGGAGTTCAATACAACATGAAGAACTGTATTAAAGGGTCGCAGCATTAGGATGGTTGAAAACCACTGATTTACAGCCTCTGAAACACAAAGGGTTCGTTCTTCTCTGCCCTACCAGATGGGTATGAGACAGCAATAATGCAACGGTGGTGAGGGTAAAGCTTTGGGGAAGCAACATATATTTAATCGCTAATCTTTTTACCTAAAATCTCACTGTCATCAAGTCAATGCTGACTCATAGTGACCCCCTGTGGGTTTCTGAGACTAACTGTTTACTAGAGTAGGAAGTGTAGTCTTTTTCCACAGGAGCTGCTGGTGGTTTCTAACTGCCAACCAGACGAATCGCAACCCAACACATAACCACTATGACACCAGGCCTCTTCAGTTACTGTACTGAGATGACTTGCCTGTTGCTGTGATAGTAGAAGCTTTGCCAGCAAATACTAGCAAGATCACCCTGGTGGATATTAGCAGAAAGTCCAGACTAAGACTAGGAAGAAAGGCCTGGATATGTACTTCAAAAAATCAGCCAATGAAAGTCAGGAATAGCAGAATATTGTCTGATAAAGTGCTGGAAGGCATTCAAAATCCATAATGGTCAACAGTGAACTAGAGTATACCAATGATGGTGACCATGGCAGAAGATCAGGGGGCATTTCGTTTGGGACTTGGGACTGCATGAGTTATAGCTTAACTGGTGGCTACTTATAGCAACAAAAAAATCTTTGGGTAATAATGTTAGTTACCGAAATAATTGGTGATGTTGCACCATTATAAGTAGAATTTTAGAATTTTAACATACTACATTAACTCCTCTTTTTCTGGTCTAATCAATCTTTCTCTCCAAATACACAGGCACCTAAAATCTTAGCAGTTTCCCACTAGAGTATTGAGATAGATCTGGAGAAATAACTGCTCGGTTACCCTTTCAAGAAAGCACATCCTGCCCAAATGGTGGCCTTGTCAATGCCTGCCTCAATTTTCAAACTGAGATTGGGCTATTTTCAGAATAGCCAATGACTAGCTTATCCGTTTTTGTCCAACAGGTTTTGAAGCAATCTTGGCTACAGTGTTCCCTGTTGAGCTGACAAAGGCTTTTTTTAAAATTATTTTATTGGGTGCTCATACAACTCTTATCACAATCCATACATACATCCATTGTGTCAAGCACATTTGTACATTTGTTGCCATCATCATTTTCAAAACATTTGCTTTCTACTTGAGCCCTTGGTATCAGCTCCTCATTTTTCCCCTCCCTCTCTGTGCCCCCTCCCTCATGAACCCTTGATAATTTATAAATTATTATTATTTTTCCATGTCTTATACTGTCTGACGTCTCCCTTCACCCAGTTTTCTGTTGTCCGCCCCCCAGGGTTATATGTAGATCCTTGTAATCAGTTCCCCCTTTCTACCCCATCTTCTCTCCACCCTCCCGGTATCGGCACTCTCACCACTGGTCCTGAGGGGTTTATCTGTCCTGGATTCCCTGTGTTTCTAGCTCTTATCTGTACCAGTGTACATGCTCTGGTCTAGCTGGATTTGTAAGGTACAATTGGGATCATAAGAGTGGGGGCGAGGAAGCAATTAAGAACTAGAAGAAAGTTGTATGTTTCATCGTTGCTACACTGCACATTGACTGGCTTGTCACCTCCCCAAGACCCTTCTGTAAGGGGATGTCCAATTACCTGCAGATGGGCTTTGGGTCTCCACTCCACACTCACCCCCTCATTCACAATGATATGATTTTTTGTTGAGCTGACAAAGATTTTATCAACTCCTCATATTGTTCTCACAGCTGCCTTGCCCTGTCCTGTTTCCTCCCATCGCCTTTCACAGATATTACACATCTATCAATTGCTTACACTCATAAATTTATATCAGCATCTACTTCCTGAAAAAATCAACCTGAGACAAGTCCCAAGAGGTAAAGTGATAGAAATACTATCAAAACTGTGTCAAATGACTACAACTGTCATTCATATGGTTCATTTCCAGAATACCCTTCAGTACCCTATTTTGTTAGTATCTTCTTAAGTGGCCATTATGTCTTTAAAAACATCACTGATAATGAGTTTTATGCTGCTTTGTAGAGAATTGTTATCAATCATATTACCCCTTTGTCCCCACCTGAGACAGAGTTCCCGTTAGGAACACTTCCACCTTCCTGAAAGTGAAGCCATTCCCCCCAGTTGTAGTTTGCTTACTCATAACAACCCCATGTGTGCAGAGTAGAACTCCATAGGGTTTTTTTGTTTTTAATAATTAAATAATTTTATTGGGAGCTTTTACAACTCTTATCACAATCCATACATACATCCATTGTGTCAAGCACTTTTGTACATTGTTTCCCTCATCTTCTCAAAACATTTGTTTTCTAGTTGAGCCCTTAGTATCAGCTCCTCATTTGTGCCCTCCCCGCCCCACTCCCCCCTGCCCCATGAATCCTTGATAATTTATAAATTATTATTATTTTGTCATATCTTACACTGTCCAACATTTCCCTTCACCCACTTCTCCACTGTCTGTCCCCCAGGGAGGAGGTTATATGTAGATCCTTGTAATCTATTCCCCCTTTCTACCCTACCTTCCCTCC